ACAGCCCTGGTGGCCTGGGGGCTGTGCAGTGTGCTCGCTGCTAACTGGCTGTCCTCTACTGACAGTCACATGCTGCTTTGGACAGGGCAGACTCGACACCCAGACACCCAGCAGGATCCCATTAGCAATGCCTCACAGCCGACCCAGTTTCTGCTCCCACCTTCTGACCCAGAGCCATCAGGAACACAAAGGTCGTCTGGTGGGAGTCACAAAGGTTAGGGCTAGAAGAGCCATGTTAACAATTCACTGCATTGCCAGGCCTTCTCAAAGGGCACTAGGACCCTGATAGGCAAGTGTGCCAAGAGGATGTCAGTGAGGAATGTTATGGTTATGTTTCTGTGGTCCTTAAACCCAGACTCACTGCCATCCAGTCAATGCCGACTCGTGTGTTGCTATTAAATCGGTTCCAACTTGTGCATCTTCTTCACTCACAGTATGCTCACACCTGCTGTGTCAGTTCATCTCATGTGACAGTTTCCAATGGCTTTTCGAGTCTCTGCTCTCTGCTGGCATGGGGCCTCAGGAAGCTTCCCGGAAGAAGCAGGTGTACAGTCACATGGGCCTGGCTGTGAGCCTCCTAGGCTAAAAACAGAGCACCCCTCCCGGGAGCACCCACCCACCAGCTTCGCAGACCAGCAGCACAAGACAACAAAGAACAAGTGTGGTGCCTGCATGAGTCAGCCTGCTGAAGGAGGTGGTCTCAGGAAGCTACAGAACATTCTGGAAGGCAGGCTCGGATGGTAGCACCCATTCCCAGCTGCTGTTTCCCAGTCTTCCCAAAATTTCTTCTGCTGTGAATGAAAAGGAGCTGAAGACAAGACAACCCCAGCCTCCGGCTCCCTCTGTGACTGTATAGCAGTGCACGGTGGACAGAAAACTACAGGAGAGGGAAAAAGCCATTTCCTAACACATCCTCCAGGGATCGCTGTCAAAATGAATCACTTGCAAAAACAAGTGGTTAGAAATTTTTGGAGGGTTCCGAATGGCCTGCTGGTGAGAGGAGATAACGGAAAGTGAAGGATTCCATAGGCAGAAGTCGAGGTTCTGCTAGGCCTCTGGGGAAAGGCAGTGAATTCCTTCTTGGAACACACAGCGCAGAGATTCATACTTCATAGGTCATGAGGGCAGGGCAGGGCATCTGGGTAATTGTAGAGTCCTGGCCAGTGTGTCTTCTTGGTCCCCCCCGCACACTTCTCTCTACCGAACACTGTCCCCGCCACCCCCTTCCTCCCTCGCTGTCTGCCTTGCCCCGGGAACAATGGCTGCTTTCTACACCCTGCCGCTCCATACATTCTGAAGATTCAGAATGGACCAATATTGATTTGCAGATGAACCTGACTTCATGACTGGGTCCAAGAACAGGTGGCCACCTGTCTCTCTGTCCCTTCGGAACAAATTGCCCCAGCCTCTCCCTGAGGGAACATTCAGATGGCCCTGGGCCATCTGGTCCCTGGGCCCAGGCCAGCCCCAGGATGGGTTGCCCATCTTTCTGTGTCGTCCACAGGCTTTTCACCAGCGGGAGCCCTGCTGATGTAATAACTGCATCCTTAGTGAGGAAGCAGGCCATTCTCTACAGTATTGTCCATGGACTATGTCCCCAGCGGATGCAGATGGATGGGTAGCCCTCAGCCAACTCTCAACAACTAAGCACAAAGTTGGTCATTTGAAATGACCTCTGGGTGTGGCAGAAGAAAAGCCTGGCTGTCTTTTTCCAAACCCAGCCATTGAAAACCCCCGTGGAGTGGGTGTCCCTCACTGACCCATAGCACTATGGGGAACAGCACTGGAAACACAATATGGGAATTGTGCCCAATCTGACCCCACCACACTGGGAGAAACACTAGGGGAGCAACAGGGCAGCAAGGGGAGCAAATCTGTGAAGTCCCTAAGGAATCCCCCAAATAAACTTCTGGTGCAGGGTGTGGCACCTCATCAGACCTGGAACAACTTATAGCCTTTTATTATTTTTGTGTTTTTAATCTCTATGTAAGACAGGCAGGATAAACAATCCTGAGGAGAAAACAGTAGGACCGGCTGTTCTGGGGGAAGTGGGGGAAGGAAGAGGGTACCCCACAAACTCAGGGACAAGGGCCCAAGTGATCTAAAATCGATGGCGAGGAAGGCGTAGGATGCCTGGTGGGGCTTGATCAAGGGCAATGTAGACTAGAGGAATTAATGAAAGCCGACTGAAGGTTGAACATGACAGTGGGACAAGAGGAAAGTGAAAGGAAATAGAGGAAAGAACTAGGAGGCAAAGAACATTTACAGAGATATAAATGCAGGCATGTTCATATGTAAATATATTAATATAGGGATATAGGTCTATGTATATATGTTTAAATGTTAAGTATGAAGGTAGCAAACAGGTATTGGGTCTCTATTCAAGTACTCCCTCAATGCAAGTACCCTTTGTTCTATTAATCTGACATGATCGCTGAAGATAAATGGTTGCATAAGCAAATGTGGTGAAGAAAGGTGATGGTGCCCAGCTATCAAAAGATATAGTGTCTGGGGTCTTAAGGGTTTGAAGATCAACAAGCAGCCATCTAGCTGAGAAGCAACAAAGTCCACATGGAAGAAGCACACCAGCCTGTGTGATCATGAGGTGCTGATGGGATCAGGAGTCAGGCATCAGAAGACCCAGAACAAACAATCATATTGATGTGAACGATGGGGTGGAGTAGAGGCGGGAAGTAGAGTGCAGACCTAAAGCCCATCTGTAGACAATTGAACATCCCCTGACAGAAGAGTCACAAGGAAAGGACGAGCCAACCAGGGTGCAGTATAGCACATACGAAACACACAACATTGCTTTAGTTCTTTAATGCTTCCTCACCCCCACTATCATGACCCAGTTCTATCTTACCAGTCCAGCTAGACTGAAGCATGTACACTGGTACAGATAACATGGAATCCCAGACAGATAAACTCCTCAGGAGCAATAATGAGGGTAGTGATACCATGAGGGTTGGGGGAAAGGTGGGGGAGAAAGGGGAAACCGATCGCAGTGATTGACGTTTAACCATCCCACCCACCAAGGGGGATGAATAACAGAAAAGTGGGTGGTAGGGAGACAACAGTCAGTGTAAGACATGAAAATAATAATTTATAAGTTATCACGGGTTCATGAGGGAGGAAGGGTGGAGGAGAGGGGGAAAAATGAGAAGCTGATACCAAGGGCTCAAATAGAAAATGTTTTGAAAAGCATGATGGCAACATATCTACAGATGTGCTTGACACAATGAATGTATGGATTGCTATAAGAGCGGTAAGAGCGCCCCATAAAATGATTAAAAAAAGAAAACCCCATGAAGAAGTCATACTCCGACACGCACCCTGGGTGAACGTTAAATGACAATCATCTCAATAGCCACGTATTAATAGATACACCAACGTATTAATAGACACACTGAACAATTGCAACCATAGAGGCTTATCCGGCTTCCACCTTGGCAGAGGCAGACTGCCCTCTCTCCTCCTCCCTCAGCAGCCCAGCGTTCAAAGCCTGTGCCGCCAGGGCTTCTCAGTCAACACCCGGGCTGTGACTCACCCACTAGCAAATGATACAGGCCCAGTAACAACCCTGCTAAGATTTCATCTTGCCCAATTGTTGCTCTCAGTGTTACAGCTCTCAGTGTTACAGCAACGTCCCAACCTTTAACAGCGGGTCCCAGGTCAGGGCTGGCTTCTGCCAGCACGCAGGTGCACATGGATGGAAACCCACTCAGCACTGGATGGATAGGAGCCCTGGTGGTATAGTGGGTACACCCTGGGCCATTGTGGTAGTTACAATGTCCACTTGAAGATATAGAAAAGGGTAGGGGTTCAGTCTAGCCTGCCAATCAGGTACCTCCTTGTGGGCATGGCCTTCTCATAAGGTGGGTCCTGGGAACCTCGCCCCCTGCCTCTCTGCCTTCACCTTCCTGCTGGCTGACCCCGACTGCTGCCAGAGCTGCAGCCATTGGCTCCACACAACTTGGCGCCCACCGGCCTGTGATCTTCCTGCATGCTGCATCATTGCTTGTGGCCGCGTGAGTCTGAAGAGGGACTTATGGACCGGTATCGGACTTATGGACTTGAGTTGGACTGGGCTGAGATGTTGTCCTGATAGAGAATTATTTCTTGATATAAAGCTCTTTCTTACACATGTAGGATACACATGTAGGAGTGTCTCTGGATTTGTCTCTCTAGTCAGCCCAGCCTCACACAGCCATGAACTGCAAGGTCTGCAGTTTGGAAGAGAGGGAGAAAGATGAGGCTTTCTACCCCCATAAAGACTTACAGTCTTCGAAACCCACAGGGGCAGTGCTCCCCTGTCCTAGAGGGTCACTGTGAGTCACCAACGACTCAATGGCACTGAGTTGGGCTTTGGTTTGCACTTGAGGAAGCTGGACAGGGGCTGCTGACAGCCCTGGCGGAGTGAGGGCCACAGGCGGGCAGGGGGCCGCTGCTGGGTTCTTTTAAAAATAAAACCTGGTCTCGTTGTTTACACTGCGTGTGACCAGAAACCCAGGGACGGACCGTGACTTCTTCCTAGCCTGACACCTGTGCCTTCTGCAGGGAGGGGGCGTCCTGGCAGTGAGCTTGCAGAGATGTTTCTCCCTGGTGGTTTTGTAAGCATCTCGTCATCCGCTACTTTGTTGATCACAGTAGCCACCACATAGTGTTTCAGCATCAAAGGTCAAAGCCAATTGTCCTTGAATCGATGTTGACGCAGGGCGACCCCGGGTACGCCTCAGAGAAGCGTGGTTCTCACGGGGTTCTGATCGCTGGTTTCTCAAAAGTAGACCACGGGCCTTTCCTCGGAGACGTCACATGCTAGGCTCAAACCTCCAACCTTCTGGGTAGCATGCAAACAAGTAAGTTACTTGCACCACCCAGGGACTCAGCATAAGGCCTATGCTTTCTAGGTCTTCTCAACGGCTCAGCTGTAAAAAGGTCTGCTTCCTGGGGGGTTTCTGATGCCCTTCCAATAAGCGTTCTTTCCTTCCTGCCTGCAGATGGTCATCTCCCCGGGAAGAAGAGAAAAGAGAATTATATCTTTGCGTCAAAGATCGATCAGGGAAGGAGGGAACACCCAGCTCCCGAAGCAGGTAAGGTGACTCATTGCAGAGCATCCAAGCCTGCAGGGCTCATGCATCTTGTCTCTGAGGGTGTTAGCTGGAGCCTCGGGTATTCGGGACAAGAGCAGTGACCTGTGGGGCAGAACTGTCTCCCTATTTCCTAGGTCCCACGGTGTGCATCTCTGGGCCCTGGATGGACCCAGACACCTTTGGGCCTCACTTTCCTTGCTTTTTCATAAGTTGGCTGGACCAAGGAGCCACTGTGGGCCCTTCCGTTGTTGCGTTCCATGGAAGATGAACACTTGTGGCACAGGGTACCACAAGCACAAAGCTAGCATCAGATGCCCCGGTTCAAATACTTCCTCCACTCCTAGACCCCGTGCCCCAGGCCAGGCTCCTTTACCTCTCTGGATCTCAGGTTCCTCCTGAGGAAGCCAAGGATAGTAACCTTGTCTGCCCGCAGGACCAGTAGAGAGAGTGCTTGGGCCCAGTTAGCACACTGCTGGGCTGCAACCATGAGCTCAGTCGATAAATGATGGCAGTTTGTCATGTGTTTATGATGCAGCAGGACTAAAGGTCTTTCTAGTGTCCCATTCTCCCTTAGGGGCTCTAGTGACCAAGCCAGAAACTAAGGAGGATGGAGGAAAAGCTTAGGGGATATTTAATAGGTGGAAGAAAATCCTAGATCATTTTTGTGGTTTGTGATGAAGACTAAAACACGATAAAGGGCATGGGCCTAGATCGGAGCAGATCATAATCCTAAACCCCACTACCTCATACGTCCAAGGAGCGTGGAGAGGACACGATAGGACCCTTGAATCAGGGGTCTCCACAGTGAGAAAGGCATAATTTTAAAACAGGCGCTGGCTGGTGAAGATGTGCAGTTGCAGACAACCGTGGAGCAATTCCACTCTGCTCTGGTGGGTTGCTGCATGGGTCACAACTTGATGGCCACGAAACCAAACTCGGCGCCATCGCATTGATACTGACTCATAGAGACCCTGTCGGGCAGGGTAGAGCTGCCCCTGTGAGTGTCCGAGACGGTAACTCCTTATGCAAGTAGAAAGCCTTCTCTTCCTCCTGGTGGTTTAGAACTGCTGTCCTTGAGGTGAGCAGTCCAACATGTAACCACTAGGCACCAGGGCTCCCTAACTTCACAGCAGGGGCGTTTGTTTTTTTTTTTCTAAGAACATCTTCTAGGACCAGTTTTCATCCTGGGAATCAAGCAACCCTTTCACAGGGGTCGCCCTATTCATAACAGTAGCAAAATTACAGTCACGAAGGAGCAACGACAATAATTTTGTGGTTGGGGTATGAACACAACATGAGGAACTGTGTGAAAGGGTGGTGGCATGAGGAAGGTTGAGAACCACTGCTCTAGGAGCTAGACAGATGCCATGCAGCTGGGTGCCCTCCCCTGTCATATGTGACCCAAGATGTTTCCGTGAAAGGATCCCTTCCCCCATTGCCCTGCAGCAGGGATCCAGGCCCATCCCTCCTCCCATGCCCACTTGTGTCCCGAGAGTCACGGGTCTAATTGGCCAATGCCCCTTAAAGCTGTTACAGGTGTTGAGTGTCATTCCCAGGCGTATGCGCTGAATGCAGCCATGCCCGTGGGCGGTTGCTCAGAAAAGCATCAGGATGTATGTACTTAGATGGTTCGGAAAGCTCTCCTTTTCAAAGTAGCCAAGCGAAAAGCGTTGCAGGAACCGTCCCAACAAAAGCTTGAAAAGTCAAGAGTAAGGTGTGGTACTCGGGAAAGTACATTGGGGGTAGACTTCCTCTTCTTTGGTATCACAGCCTTGAACGGCATCAGGTATGATGGATCAGAGACTGGTGTCCGCTGTAGCGGATGGAGACCGCCCCTTAGATTGACTCTAGGTCTGGTTTGTTACCGTGCTTGTCAGCTCACATCAAGTCACCCCCAACTCAGGGCAGCCCCATGCCCAAACCGCTGGCAGCCCTGCACCACCTCCAGCTCAGCCGTGGATTGGACCTTTAGGATGCATACAGTTTTCCCTGGCTGATTTTCACAGGTAGAGCCCCAGGCCTTTCTTCTCAGTCTGTCTTAGTCTGGAAGCTCCCCTGAGACCTGTTCAGTTTCACAGCTCCCTCCCAGTCTCTTCTTACTGACAGATGGGTGGTGGCCGTGCATGGGGGGGCACTGGCCAGGAACAGAACGCACATCTCCCACAGGGAAGGCAAGAATTCTTTCTGTATCTGCCCTCCATCAGCATCGACCCCACGGCAGTGAGTTTGGTTTGTTTGGCTTTTTAGATAAGTATCACATCGATCAGATCCTGTCTTGGAAGGAAAATGTCACAGTGTGAGACCATGGGCCATGGAGCCGTCGGTCGTGCCTGGCTTCGAGTCCCAGCTCCCCCGCTTTTAGTACAATCATAGGCAAGTCACTTAATTCCCTCGTCTATAAAAAGGGATGATAATAGGACCGACTCATGGGATTGTTGTGAGAACTAAGTGAGTTCGGGTAGAAAGCAATTAAAACAAACCTGACGCGCATTGGGCTACTAACCACTAGGTCAGCAGTTCAAAACCACTAGCTGCTCCAAGAGAGAAAGACGAGCTTTCTATGCCCTTCAAGAGTTACAGTCTTGGAAGCCCACAGGGGCAGTTCTACCCTGTCCTGGAGGGGTCGCTAGGAGTCTGAATCAGCTTGATGGCCGTGTATTTGGCTTTGATTTTTGGTTACTCTCTTTCCTCATCAGCACTTAGCTCAGTGCCCGCCTCAGGAAAAACTCAGGTGAATACGTGAGTGAAAGAAAATGTTGTTAGAGAATCAGCTCCCCCAGAGGCTGTGTTCACGCCTCTACTTCCACCCATTGGCAAGACTCCTGCAGCTAAAAATAGTTCCAGCATGGCATCCCCAGAGCTGGCTGTACCCCAGAGCCAGCTGAATCAGCCAGCTGAGTCTGATATGCAAGACTGGCCTGGGCATGCCCTGCCCCTTCCAGACTCAGCTAAGTCTCGGAAGGCCACCTCTGGCCTGGGCTTGGAGGACCAGCCCGCCACACCGAAGACCCTTGTGGAGGGGAATTGAAGGGAGATTGTCCTTCGCCACCCTAGGTCAAAACAACACCAGCATATGTTGACGTTCGCTTTCAACTGTAGTCTACGGGCTAAGGGTAGCGTTCCGGGTTGATAAAGGAAAAACTTTCCTCAGGCTTAAACCAGAACGAGAAAGCAGGATGGGCCAGACTTATTTTAAGAGCAAATGGCCACGTATGAATCCACCAGTGGAACGCACGGCGTGCTGGCAATGTCCAGGCAGTCACAGCGCCACTGTTTTTTCTCCAAACATCTCACGGGGACTCTAACGTAAGGTGACCAGATTTTAACATTGGTAAAGCGGGACACCATTGATAAAACTCATATCCTGGTGAAATAGCCACATGGCAGCTGAAAACTGTAGGCTTTTCATGCATTCTTTCAAAAAATTGGGACTTTTTTAAAACAGCATGGGACGCTGGTAAAATTGTTAAAAATCGGGACTGCTCTGCCAAAAGTGGGACATCTGGTCACCTTACTCTAAGGGGATCTGGTGGCAATGTCCCACTGAGGCATACATGTTCTGTGGGCGCCCACGACAGAATATGGTTTTAAAGAGATGCGAGTTTAAGGGCACATTGGGCTGCTGACCACAAGGTCATCCGTTCAAAACCACTATCCCTCTGCAGGAGTAAGACAGGGCTTTCTGTTCCCACAGAGTTAGTCTCGGAAACCACAGGGCCAGGCCTACCCTGTCCTATAGGGCTGCCATGAGTCGGCATCAATTGGGCGGCTGTGATTTGGAGTTTTGAGAGTCGGAGGCCTACCCAACAACTCAAGCTACAGTTTTTAAGCAAATTACATCATTTCTTTGCACCTCAGTTTGTCTGCAAAGTACTAATACGTATCTAATAGTCTTTTGATTAAATAGGGCCTATCAAACACACTGGAGCGAGCCTTGGTGGCATAGTGGTTATGCTTTTGGCTGCTAACCATAAGGTCAGTAGTTTCAAACCGCCAGCCGCTCCGAGGGAGAAAGACAAGGCTTTCCAATCCCCTAAAGAGTTACAGTCTCGGACACCCACAGGGGCCATTCCACCTTGCCCTATGGGATCACTGTGACTCGAGGGCAGTGAGCTTGGTTTCGGTTTGACCGTGCTGAGAGGGAGTTGTCATTCAGCACTGACCTAGCTTTCTGCTGCCTCGCCTTCTTACAGGTGCAGTGCTGCCCCTAGCCCTGGGCCTGGCCATCACGGCTTTGCTGCTGCTCATGGTGGCCTGCCGGCTACGGCTGGTGAAGCAGAAGCTGAAGAAAGCTCGCCCCATAACATCTGAGGAATCCGACTACCTCATCAACGGGATGTATCTCTAAGAAACCCGATTGCAATAGCTTGGGGTAAGGACATGCTCCCCCTCTTCATGCATCTGTCGGGTCCTAGCAGCTCCCCACCTCTGTTTTAAATTGTGATAAGACACCAACTAAACCCCCCTAATTCTGCAAATGCCAAACCTCTGTTTGGATAAGTTCTTGTAGGAAGGTGTCCCCCTGGGAAGTAGGTGAAGTATTTTGAAATTTAGAGGAAAGCCCGTCTGATTAAATAAAGATATCTGTACCAATCGGATATGCCTGACAATGAGGGTCCCCGGGGTCCAGTGGTTCAGTGCTGAGCTGACCGCCAGCTCTCCGAGGGAGAAAGGCGTGGCGGCCGGCTTCCTCCGCAAAGAAGGCAGCTTTGGAAACCCCGTGGGGCAGCTTCCCTCCATCCTGCAGGCCGCGGTGAGTCACAGTGGACTCAAGGGTAATGTGCTGGACTGCACACTGAGTCGTTAGCCGAGGTGTGGCAGGGCGGCCTTTGGGTGTCATGACTAGCCCCTCCCTCTAGAGGGCAGGGCCCATCTGTACCTCCCTGAAGCCCCCTGCGCTGCCCTCTCTTCTCCCGCTCAAACCCGGCCTCGCGATGGCGCTGTCAGTAGCACAGGGGTCTCTGGAAGACACACCTGACCCAGGGGAAGGAAAATAGCAGCTCTCCCCGACCCCAAACATCAGGTCAGCGGGAGTGGCTACTTCAGTAGCTAGAACTGCTCTGAGAGGGCCGGGAAGTGACATCGGAAACCAAGGTGGAGGCAGAGACCCTGGCAGGCCAACGGTCCTCCCTGGAAACGAGTTGGAGAAAACCGTGCCTTCGGGTGGAAACGCGAGCCCTGAGCGTGCAGCTCTGTACAACTGTCACCACGTTTGGCACCGGATTCCCTCGTCCGCCTGCTCGGTCGCCATCGTGTTCTCAGTGCTGTGAAATGTTACGAGGGGTCGCCAAGTAAGGCCAGGCTGACGATTTCCAGGGCAAAGGGCCGTTTCGCCCCAAGGGTGACTACCCCCCCTTTCATCTTCAGGATTTGAGGGCCAGTGGTGCCCCCCTTCGCGCCCTGCCGGCTGGTACAGGCCAGACACCACGCAAGAGGAACTCCTCATCGGGTGCCTGTCACGAGGAGCCCATTCCGGTTGTTTTTCTCGTTTTCCTTAGGAAATGCAAGCTTCTAACATCACTCGAACACCAGAATCGACAACATTTTCTTTTCAGATTTAGCAACTTGAGGGTTGGGGTGGAGGGTGGGGCACAGACACATTAACCACTGGAACTCGACGTCTAGAAAAACAAAGAAATTCGCTTTGGTGGTGGTTTGCTGAGAAGCTCCGGCACTTTGTTGAGGGCTTGGATTTGAAGACTAGCCCCCACCCCACCCCTGAAGCCATTGCGTGAAGGAGCTCCAGGTGCACGTGCTGTTGGCTTTGACAACCTCCCCACCTGGTGAGGAAGCAGCAGATGAGCCAGCAAGCACATTTGTGCTGGAGGACACCACCTTAGCCTCACTGTTGCCACGGCGCCAAATCACAATCTATGTTAGCGACTCTCAATAAATTGCATTTTATTCTTGACTTTTTTTTAAAATCACCTTTCAATCAATCCTAAGCTAATATTTTACTGAGCAGCTGTCTATTGCATGGATTTCATCCCATGAGCCCCCTGACAGAGGGAGAGTGGGGATGAGACGCATGAGCAGCCCGCCGTCCTGTACAGCATTGAGGGCAGAGGCTGGAGGCGCTCAGGAGGTAGGTGAGCTGAGGGCTCAGAAGGTGGGTGAGCTGAGCAGGGCGGTTTAAGTCCTCCGTGAGTCTGACTGAGGGACCATGCTGCAGAACATTCAAGTCAAAACGTCTTTTCCAAGGGCAAGAGTGCTTTCCTGTCCAGTCCACTCTCACTGCTCATTTGCCTTAAGCAGATTAAACCATCTCAATCCTCTTCCCGGACATTTAAACGTCTTTGCCCCTTTCTTCTTCAGGAGCACACAAAACTTTCTCCCCCATCCATTCCTTCACAGCGTCCGTTCAGAGCAAATCCGTCTCTTCCAAAGGAAAAGAACCACGGTGTCCTTTCTCCCAGGGACTCTACGTGTGCTTTGGCCCCAGGATTCCCTCACACCCCCTTTCAGTCAGTGATGGTCCCCCCAACACTGTGTGGACATGCCTACGTGTGTCCGTTTTGCTGTCCAAGGCAGACCTTATTGGTGGAGTTAGCTGGGTTTGACATAGTCTACCATGTGAGGTACCCTGGGCCCTCTTCACTGAGACCCCAAGATTCTGTACAGGGCTCCCTGCTGCATTCATGTTTGGATTGGAAGGTGCCTCTTCACCCTCTTGCTTGCTTTCTGGGCTCCAGGTTGTCTAGCATTGTTGGCCTCACTAAGAGCTGCCCAGGCTGAATAGTGAGGGAAACGCTGAGTCTGCAGTCCACAAATGTGTCCACCCCCTGGCTTTTCACACAAGTGTGCTGCTGGGCCAGAGCACTTGGTTCCTGGCTCCACTTTCCGGGAACTTGTGCCTATTCTGTGCCCCTCTTCTAAAATGAACGCGTTACACCTTGTGGCTACTTGAGTGGCTACGCGCCTAGTATACATTCTTCGGCTAAATATGAATCACCAAGGAAGAACAAGTTCTGACGATGTAAGGCTGCGAGGAAGTTGCAGCTGGTTTGCACCGAGCACCCTCTCAATGCGGGAGCTGCGTTCTGGACCACGCAGGTCTTCACTCTGGCCACAGGACGTCATTCTTCTGAATAAAGCACAGGAGGAAAAATCCAGAGAGGTGCTCCTGCAACTCATTTATTTTACTGAGTGTGTTATTTAAGAATACAATCCAGTATAGGGGGTGCTTGCGTATAGCCGTCACGTACTTCAAGTTAGCACTAACCAAAAAGAAGTCCCCAAAAGTCGTGCTTTTAAAAAGTCCAAATGCAATACTCAATTCTGTCACTGCTGTCCTTCTGAAATGTACCGAACTATAGGAAAAATTGTAAGATTATCTGAAAACAAACACTTTTCTGATGAAACAAAATTACTAAGGAGCTTTATTTCTTGGCTAACAATTACACCCCAAAGAGTTTAAAATAATTCACAAGGAGTATTATTTTAAAAGTTATTGTTTATCCATTGAGGTAATTTAAATGTTCCAGTAGAGGCACATTTTAACCAACTTTCATCAACCATTTTTTTTTTGACACTGACATTTTAACTGTTTCCCTAATCTGGGGAGAATTTTTATTTACAAGGATGGTTCTAATGATTTTTTTCCCGAGATATCTTTTTTTTTTTTTTAATGTTACTGGTTGGAAACAAGTTGAGGCCTTCACTAGAAACTGGAAATCTTCATTCAAGCGTCCATTTTATTATAAAATCTGCGAGCTAAATTTGGCATTAGTAAAACCAAACTCATTGTTTCTATGGGGCCTCACTGAACTGGAAATTTTGAAGTATTTTCATGCTGCCCTTTGTGTTATGTGAAGAGATAATTTCTATTGAAAAAACTGAAATACCAAAATCACATCGAAATCACAACTGCTAAACTCAAGAGAAAGATGTTTCTGGTCTTTGAGCCACACACAAAAAGCCAACCCTTGTCGCCAGGAAAGCTCCTAGGCTAAGTGGTAAGTCACTATTGTTTTGTCTGCCTATTGGTGGGCCCTTAAGATCAATTGTGTATTCAACACTCAAGTTTGAATTCACAAGTGGGAAGTTCAAGCGCAACACTTGAGCAGTGTGTGAAGCATAGAACCGTCCCTACCAGTCAGTGGCACTGAGCTGTCCCCCATATTTATACACTGTCCCCTCATGAGATGACAAAGTCCCTGAAAGGACAGGCCTTTCCTATGCACAAATGCTAACTTAGGAGTTTACAGACAAGGACACGCTGGCAAGGGCTGGGGAAGATACAGAACAATAGATAAGTTTAACAATCAACTTCACTTTAAGTCAAAGACATTTGCCCCTTCCACTACTTCATTTGACACCAAGTCGTGAGTGATGGGAAGATATGGGTCCAGGAGCAATAAACAGCCACCACAGAACCAAAGCCCTCAGCGAACGTGAACTCTGCCTTCTAGAAGAGTACCAAGCAATGCTGACACCTGAAAGACCATGCCTGAGACCTTACCATGACAAGCTGTGTGAATTTTAAAATGCCCTTTCAGACATTCAAATTTTAAATTTCGAATTTAAAGTCCGAGGTAGAGGTCGAAGTGTCACAACAAGGGCCTACTTACAGGATCACACACACTCACACAACCATGGGAAGGGCCCAGTGTGGAGTGCTCCTTCTAGAGCAATGCTTCCCAAAGTGGGGGATACAGCCCCTAGTGGGGGGTACTGGACTGATTGGGGCGGGGCGGGGGGGGGGGGGGAGCAAAAGTTGTAAAAGTATAAACTAAACTTCATCCTAGGAGCCTGGTGGCATAGTGATTACACATTGAGCTGCTAACCACAAGGTCAGCAGTTCAAATCCTCCAGCAGCTCTGAGAGACAGGCTGGCCTTTCTACGCCCATAAACAGTAACGCGGGGGGTGGGGGTGGAGTCACTCAAGGGCAGTGCGTTTTCTACTGCTGTACAGTGACAGTTTCAGAAACTCACCGGCTAGATGACAGTGAGTGAGACATAATATCCTTGATTACGGGCTAGAGTACAAACGTTTTTCATGGCTGGGGGACATCGGGGTGTGTTTTGTTTGGTTTTGCTGAAAGGGGGCAGTAGGCCAAGTAAGTTTGGGTCTCTGTTCTAGAGTTTCCACTTCTCGAGGTTCTAGATTCAGGAAAGCCCATAATATCCTATGACAAGAGGTATGAGAAGCCACCACATTGAAACAAGAGTCCAAAGTGCTGCCTCCTTGGAAACTCAACCAAGTTAGTACTCATTCATCATTTACACATCTACTACAGAAAAAGCCTTACTCTAGACACAGAAAAAGGCGGTGTTAGAGAGTAAGTGGTGGACTGCTAACCACCAGGTTGGTGGTTCAAACCCACCAGCTGCTCCACGGAAGATGAGGCTGTTCCTGTAAGGGTTTCAGCCTCAGGATCCCAAATAAGGTCACTAAGTAAGGTCGCTTTAAGTGGGAACTGACTGGATGGCAGTGTGAGTGGGGGCCGAGGAAAAGGATCAAAGAGTTAGGTGTGGTCCTTGTCATCAGGGACTGTGCTCAAATGAAGAACTGGGTTCATACCGTGGCCTGACTCTGGTTACACCAAAGGGAAAGAATTTTTCCTCCATGATCCCGGCTCTGTATCTGGCGGACATGGTCTGTCTTCCATACTCAAATACCACCAATGGCTTTTTAACTTTCAACTTTATTTGGCAAAGCAGCACTGCAGACCTGTTCAGTACCGAAGACACAGCTTACGCAGCATGTTAAGAGTCATAGTATCAGCAGCAAATTAGAAACAAACAATACTGAGCGAGAGCTACAGGTCTCCTACCGCTGTGGGAAGGAGAAAGGAAGAACTAGGTCAGTTAAGTCCAATCTGAACAGCTGAGTGCTTTAAGGGACATTACTTGTCCCAAGGTATTAAGTCTTAATATCTACAAATGCTTAGTTTTAAGGTAAGAGAGTAGCTGATTGTATCTACAACACGCTAGTCTAGCACACACATCAAAGCTTTATAAAGGAGGCCTGTCGCTAGTTTCTTTGAGTAGCATCTACCAACCAACCAGACAGCAGGGAGCTTCACTGGTGAAGGGTGTGGTATCAGATGCACAAAAGCCATCTGATCCATTAATATCGGAAGAGAATCAAGTGTCCGAGGAAACAAAAATCACTCCTCCAAATCAGAATGCGCGAGGCTTCCATTCCGCAGAACTGGCTTGTTTAATATTTTAAAGTAAAGGGTGGGCATATTAAGGTAGGAATATGCCCCTGTATTCTTCACATCCTTTTGCTGCTACGGCTCTGTGCCTCTTTAAGAATTAAACTCTTAAAAAAAACAAACACACATTTTCATGCTGAAAATAAAAGTGTAACAAAGTTCAAAACAAGCTGTGGCGCTGTTGGTTTTCACAAAGCTGAGGCCCGAGAGGAGCCATCCACTGAGACAGCAGGCTCTGCTCACACGGCTGCTGCCTTCACAGTTCATCCCTGGGGGCAAGAGAGAGAGAAGCGTCAGTAAGGACGGCAGATCCCAGGATTAGCTCGCTACTAGCTTCCAGAGGACTCTCCGTCCGGAAAAATGATCCCAAAGCAATTTCTTAAAAAGTCCATGTCAAAGCAAAAGAGGAGGTCGGGGTTAGAAAGAGGTGTTGAGCTCTTGGTGTAATTCTAAAGTCATGTCCTTCTTCCAAGATCGGTAAGTCAGAGAAATAAGAACGGGTTGAGATCTAGAGTCACCTTGCTAGTACTATTTACTACCAAATGAACGACTTGAATATTGACAAATGATTTCTAAATCTGTTTCAGTTACACTTTTTTTTTTTTTTTTTCAGTTACACTTTTTAAAACTGGACAAAAATGTAGTCTTTTGTTGTTCAGAGTCAATCTCATAGAAGGTATACCAGATTTTCACACGTATTTTTTGCTTTTCCAAACCATGCAACCCACACAACACACTGTGTGAGGTATTTACATGTCCATTATCTGCGGTAATATGCCTGCCTGCTGATTTCATAAGGCAGCTGCACATCAGCTCCAAAGGAAACCATCTGCTCAGTCACATGCAGCGCTGTGCCAGCAACTGCTAGTGCGGGGAAGGAAGGAGACAGATGCTATCTAAAACGGAAGGCATGTTATTTATATTCACTACAGCCCAACAAAGTGTCTAAAAGGGGGCGGGGATTGGGGGGTAAATATTACTTGAAAACCAGAGGAAAACCTGAGTAGCAAAGATGTCATTAAGATTCAAGAAAATTTTTCATAAAGTTTTATAAACATGATAAACAAGGGAGCCTGAAAACCTTTGTAGAAAATTGCCAGTCTTGATTTCACTTTTCCATAAACTTTTAGGAAGCCCCTCCTCGTTTATGCAAAAAGATCGAATGACAAAGCAAATATGCTCACTGCTAATTCCAGATAAAGGAATCCAGGAGTTTTGTTCTAGTCTTCTAACTTGCCTGTTCACAAAATTTTAAGTTGTTTAAAAATTGTTTAAAGAGAGGGTAAAGAATTTATATTTTACTGGTAAGTGGTGAATTAAAGGATTATCAGATCATTTGCTTTTTTAGAAAGTTTTTATAAATTGTCCAAGAAAACACATTTTTCAATTACTTCTCTTATAAACTGCCTTACGGCCTACATATCTATAAAGTGGCAAGTTTATAGATATCAGTTCGGCTTCACCGCTATGCACTGTGCTACAGATGTGCATTGTCAAATAGTCCTGTCACTCTTCTCAGTGCCATTATGTTGATTCCAACTCACAGCGACCCTGCAGAACACGGTAGAACTGTCTCCTTGGGTTTCCAAGACTTTAACTCTTCCGAGGAGCAGAAAGCTTCGTCTTTCTCCCACACTATAATTCTTACAGAATAATTTTTATATAAATTCATGCAAGCAAAGCATTGAAATATTTAATCTGAAGGACTTCACTTGCAGATGTAGTGTTCTGTTCACAAACTAAAGTGAAGTTGCTGTTTTTAAAAACTCGAACTGATGATTCTATTGTTTTGTTTTGTTTTCTTTTTCTTAACAATTGACCATATTTTATTCAGCATTAGAGCAGGGGTCCTCAAACTTTTTAAACAGGGGGCCAAGTTCACTGTCCCTCAGACCCCTTGGAGGGCTGGACTATAGTTTAAAAAAAAAAACTACGAACAAATTCCTATGCACACTGCACATATCTTATTTTGAAGTAAAAAAACGAAACAGGGCAAAAACATCTGGCGGACCAGATAAATGTCCTCGGTGGGCCGCAAGTGGCCCACGGACCGTAGTTTGAGGATGCCTGCAGGATACTGTACAGCTCAATGCTGTCAAAAACATGGTACAGTGACACTGGCAGGGTTTTCTTAACGAAGGAAAAGACATTAGGGTTGGAGAGCTAGATTTGAATGCATCGGCTTCAGGGAGGAAGTAAAACTTGGCACCACGTCTTCAATGGACCTGGTCACCCCCAATACTCCAAAAGGCACGGGGACAGCTCTCAGGTCCCTCATTTCCCCCAAATGTTATGATTCCACATACACAGATAAAGCTTCCTTTATCTGGCTTAATGCAGAGATGACAGGTAGTGACTCTTAATGTTTGAGAGGCTCTTTGAAACTGCTAAATCTGTTAAAAGGGGAACAAAAAAACATGGCCAATAAACAACCAGAACTCACTGCCATGGAGTTCATGCCAACTCACAGCGACCCTTTAGGACAGGATGGGCCTGCCCCTGTGGGTTCCTGAGACTAACTCTGTACAGGAGTAGAAAGTCGCATCTTTCTCCCATGGAGCGGCTGGTGGTTCCAACTGCTGCCCTTTCGGTTAGCATCCCAGTGCCTAATCTCCATCAAAAGCCACGAATGTTTTCTACTACTCAAACAGACTCTCCGAAGTAGCCAACATAAACTTCAGAACTAGAATTTGCCCCAGCCCCGAAGGACACATGCATCACAATGCTGTAAGGTCTATGGAGAGCAGAGAGCACAGTGCCGACTGGGTACCATGACCCACTGACGGTTCACGGCATCCTTCTCGTGCAGTGCACGGCACTTCCAAGGTGGTACTGGTTCCCTAGAGGGTCTTATGGGATAACCTTGAAATCTGTCTCAAGTTCCACACACTAGAAGTGAAACTTAATCATTGATGCTTTTCCACCAAAGAATAACAAGAAAAGCAAAACTTTTAACAGAATAACAAAATATTGGCTTCATATTTTTTGAAAAGTACTTTTAAGTATTAATTTTAAAAGTATTCAGAGTTTCTGAAACGAACACAGCTATTACAGATCAATAGTCATGAACATAATCCCAGATTCTGGGTTCTGCCGCCAAAGACCGGAATTCTTTCCCCTTTTGTTACTCTCGACTCATAGCACAGGTGGCCTTTCCAAGTACGAGGACACACGAGCCTAAATCCAGAGTGCTGCTTTACTTGGTACTAAACTTCAGTGAGCCCACGGTAGGTTTTTCATAGGGGTTTTAGCTCACAGGTCTCTTGAGACTAGCTCTCGCTTTTTCCAGTTCAGGATTCCAGGAGACCTACTTCAGCATTCTCAGAGGAGGATGGAAGGACAGTGAGGGAGAACAGAAGGCTCGTAGGAAGGCACTCTGATGAGGTGGTAAAGCAGTCCAGAAGAAAACTAAGCACAGACACGGCCTAACTAGGCAGGAATCTTGCTAGCAGCTTTTGAGAAGAGGACCCTCAAGCATGGCTGGGCACTAGAAAATGGGAGGCAACACCTTCCCACCATCACAGAGGAGGGAGAGGGAGGCGGGCTCAGGGCACAGTGGCTGGAGCTCGCCCTCCACTCCAGGCCTCACCTTAGGCCATCACCATGTCACCCAGTGGCCGTCTTCCACTTGTCTTGCTCCTTCCGAGCTGCCCTCCGTACCACAGTCAATTTCCTTTCTTGCTCGTAATTCTGGTAACTTCACTGCCAGCCTTCAGCGCGCCCACTGCTCACCGCTTGCTCATCACACAGAGACCAAGCGCCTGCCCAACAGCCAGGTGCCTGGCATGGGTCCTGACTCCACGTGGCCCCATGTGTGCCAGGGTGGACCTAGGCCCGGGGCTTTCCCAGGGCTGCTCTTTCAGAAGCAGAGCTCCAGGCCTCTCTTCAGGGCTCTCTGGATGGTCTGGCACCTCCACCCACGGGGTGAGCAGTGGAGCCCACACCAACCGCCCACCTTTCCACATCTCCGGGCAACAAGCCCCTGGAGAACGACTGCTCACAGCAGTATGTGCGCTCCTGGCGGGCCCTGGAGGGCGGCCACACGCACTGGGGACCTGACCCGATGAGATTAGAGGATCCTCCCACGACGACAACTATTTGACGGCAGAATAAGCAACGTATAAAATGCTGCTTTTCCAAAGGCAATTCAAGCACATGGTCTTCTGTCTACAACAGTTTCAGCATAAACCAAAGTCACTACCCTCGGGCCTAAAGTGGTTAGAGATAGGGCACACAACACTTAGATGCTTCCTCAAGTCTACTCCAAACCTGCCACTGAAAAGAAGCGGTCTGGGGAGAGGACAGGCAGATGGCGAGGGAGCAGACCCCTCGCAATACTGCAGCCTCGGCCGCAGACAGTGAAGTGACTGTTGCAATAAAGGCAGGCACACACATTTTGGTTTGTGTCCCAGTGCGTGTAATAGTTGACATTCACTCCACTACAGTCTCTAACGTGGGCAACAGCGTGGTGAAAACCCTGAAATGCAGTGGGAATTCCCAGAGTGTGACCCACACACAGAGCATGTGCTATGTGGAAATGGTGCTGAAAGACTTGCTTGACACAGGGTTGCCACAAACCTTCAATCTGTCAAAAACGCACTATCTGCGAGGAGCAATAAAGCGAGGCACACTAGACCGAGATTTGCCTGAGCCTCTGCCACAGGGCCCTTTCCTCTTTGACTTGCATCTGGCTCTGGCTCACAGGGTGCTCTGCTAAGAGACAAGAAAGTGGGAGAGAAGTCCAGGTGATTCGTAGCTCTGCCCACCCACCTCCACTTCCACTCCTGTCAGCTGCCCACGGCCCCCCTCCTGCTGCCCCTGCTCTCCATGGGTTCCAGTAAGAGGGCCCCAGTAAGGGGTGGGCACGGATCCCTGTGGAGAACGTGGAGACTGTGGTGTTGTGTGCATTCTGAGAGCCCCTCCCAGTCAGCCCATCCCAGCATCCCTTCCCTCAGGAGCCCTTTCAGGAAATGCTCGCTGCAGGGCTGTGCCCACCTGGCCTCTCGACACAGAGCTTGGGCTCCCAGGAGTATAAGTGGTCAAGCTTTACCCTCTCAAGCATCCAGGTGTCTAGTCAATTCCTTTTTAGAACAACATTTTTCGGTGGGTTTTTTCCTTCCAATTTAATTTTTAATAAGATCCTTTAAAACTTTCAGATTTACAGACAAGTAACTGAGTATCTTTGTTACTGGAACTACATTTTTTAGCTGTAGGAAAAAAAGTGTTTATTCTTGGACAGAAATTCTCCAACAGAAAAAAAATCAAAAAGCACTTCTAGTGCATCCAGAGTTTTCCAGCAGTGCAAATATGAAAATGCACCCCCACCCCCCAAAGAACCCTTTTCTTTGAATGCCAAAAACAGTACACATTAAAATATTGGGCAACTGACCAGTCACTCATAAATGTACAAATCCTTCTGAGTTTTGGGACCCAAATAGTTTGGTTTCATCAGAGGGAGCCCTAGGTTTTCTGAGGTGAGTGACCCAAAGGGTCTCACTTTCTGAGAAGAGCCAGGTTCGTTCTGTCCATGCCTCCTACATGCCTGCCACTACCGTCTCTCACCGGAGACCTTCCCGTGGCTGCAATGAACAGGTTTCAGCAGAGCTTCCACATTTAAGAAGGACTAGGAAGAAAGGCCTACAAATCGGCTTTTATAGCCAGCGGAGACCTGATGGCTTCCACACATTGTGGCCATGGGGCAGGTCTGGGCAGCGCTGCTGGTGCCTGGGCTGCTGTGAGTCAGCTAGCCAGTGGCAGCCCAGGTTGGTGCAGGGGTGGTGGTGGTGGTGGTGGTGGTGTAAGATTCTATGTCTATAAAAGAAGCCCTGATTCCGGAGCTTCACTCCCTCCCTGGGGAACCACCTTTGGCTGTGCAAACAAAACACCTGCCTGCAAGGCTTGTGTCAGTCAATTAAAGCAGATTATTCAAGATTAGCATTTCTAGTGCATAAAGAGAAAAGGACTTACTAATAAAATCTGAACTCTTACTTGATTTGGGCGGTACCTTTGCCTCTTCTGTTCAATGGCAATCACAATTATGTAAGGTCACAGCCATACTAGAAGCAAAGTGAAGGCAGGTCATAGCAACTATATCCGATTCTAATGGGAAAGACGGCTAATCTTTAATGATTGCTTTAAGATGTGACTACACTCCAGGAGAGTTTCATGTCTAATATGAATTAGTGAAAAGTAAAACTCGGTTTGGGGGCAGGAAAAAAAAATTTTTTTTGGCGGATGGATATATTATTTGAATTGCGTTAATAAGTTTAACCAATACATGTCAAAACCTACCCAAATCCATCCTTTAAATATGTAGTTTACTATTAAGAATTGTACCCTAGTAAAATTATTTTAAAACCCTACTCAAAGTACTTGGGGAGAGAGAAAAAAAAGCTACTAGACCTCATTGTCATCTTTGCAATTCACTCAAAAGCACCTCTTCTGTCTCCAGAAAAGAAAACTGAGACGTCTATTACATTCATCATCACAATTTTATTGACTAATTAAAAAAATAAGTATCTCACTGTCAAATAAAAATATACTCTGACACAAGGAAGGTAAACACCTTTCTTATTTTAGTATTTAACTCCAAGTCACCTGAGCTGATGTCTTTACTGACTGACTGCAGGGACAGAAGAAGAAAAGCGTGCTGGGCGCGGACATGCTCAGACTGTGCTGACACCCACGGGGCTGGATTGTGATGCGCATGCATGGGAAGGCCATGCTGCATGCTGCTTGGCCCCCTGGGTGGGTTTGTGAGACCTGGCACTCATGAGCAGCGTATCGGCCCCTGTCCTCTGGGAACCCCACCACAGCAGCTTGAAAGCTGGTGGGCCTGTTCTGGAGAAGGAGGAGAGCTCCGTCCTCCTGGAGGCGCTGAAACAGCAGCTGTCGGATACGGATACGCATGCTGACTCAGGGACCATGCGTCCTCTCCGGGATCCTAACATTAGAAAAGTGGGCAGCTTTGTCTTTCCCTTTTCTTCTCCTTGGAACACCACCAGCCGAGAGAGAGGGGACAGGGAATGATGGCTCCTCTTCCAAACCAAAGCTTTGTTTCCATGACCACACAGCGTCTGTACAACTGAGCTGTTGATACGGAAACTCCAGGGGGCTGACCAAGAATAAAGTATCTTCTGAAAGCACTAAACTGTCTCTGAAAGGCTCTGAAAAAAGCCAGTGCCTCTTGGGCTAGCCAAGTCTCACCCCGTTACCCAAAGATAGGAGTTAAACCAAAGACGGGCAGACCATGCAAATAGTTCTACGATTTTAATGTGATGGAGTTCTGACGTTATAATGCAGTAGCATGAGGCGACAACGAAAAGGGCAGCTCTTGTGGCTAAGGTCTTAAAGTCCACACCCTTTCACCTTGTGTGTGCGGAAGAAGAGAGAGCAGAAGAGAAAATCACTTCCACCTGGACCACTGCTTTTCTTTATCTGTTAAAGGCACGTAGATCACCCCCATCAGAGGCTTCATCTTCACGCTGCCATCTTGTAGCTTGTCATACTGCTCCAACATTTGGTTTCCGCCTGCAGGGCCGACAGGCAGTATCAATCTTCCCCCGGGTTTCAGCTGTTCTAGTAGCTACGGGAGAGAGAGAAGACCAGGTACATCCTGAGTTATATGTATACACGCCAAGTTAAATACTTTTTGTTACTGAGCGTTTTCCATATTACAAACAACCTTCAGTTGGGGTGGGGGGGGCAGTAGCAATAGACTTTGATTTGTTACCTGCTTACTCCTTTACCTGGCTGCCTCCCCTGAGGGCAGGGACTGTTGTCTGTCGTCGTACACATCTCTGTAACCCTAGCACAACTGCAATGCTTACAATGTTTGAAATGAACCACACAGAGGATCCAGCGAAAACCAGAAGTTTTCTAATGTGCTGGTGTCTGTTTTGGGTGAAGAAAACTGGCAAGAATGCTCATCCTATTACTGTAGAGTCTAGGCCCTGATGCACCCAAAGACAAAGGAAGCCCAGGTTCAGGACCGCATGTGGCCGCCATAAGGAACAAAGGAGGGCTAGCGTCCTACTGCCCTGAAATGAGGACACCCAGCCACGAAGAACCAAGACCACTCACCACCAGGCCCTCCACACACAAAATGTTCCAGACATACTGTCTGTGGACCTGCAGCTCAAAAACAGCAGAAGCAAGCCTTACTGTAGATAGTGAGACCCCAGGAAAGAATGCCTTTATTATTATTTTGGCTTTCAGCATGTCTATTTAATTTTTCCCAATTTAATGTTTAGCCAATTAATATTGACAAGTGTATTTTTCTGGTTGTTTTTCTAAATTTCTGGGCATATGATGTGAAACAGCAGACATCTGCCCCCCTCTCAGTCCTGCCCCCAAGCCCAGTCAGAAATCCTTTGAGCTGTGTCTCCGGTATTTCTCTGGGTGTTTCCAACAAGCTACTTGAGGACTGAGTTCGCTCCCTTACAGACACTGAGCGCCCCCTTCCCGAATCCAACTACCTAGTCTTATCAGGCTGCCAGGATTGAAGAGACGAGCAAGCAAAGCTGCCGCAGGTCAAGGGGTAACGTGTGAAAACTCAGGGTGTTCTTCCTTTATGGCTTGTACAATTTTCCACACTATGTTAACACTTCAATTAAAATGCTTTATAACCACTGGTTTAATCTAACTTAATAATAACAATAAGCAACAGGATGGGAGAAAATAAGGGACTGTCTAAAGGTCACTCAACCAGTTAGTAAATGATGACCAGAACAAATTCCCCAATGTTCAACTTCTCATAACTGATCTAAACATGTTCTCCGGTCCCTCCAGGTTGGGTAATGTCCTGTGCCACCTGCCCTCCCATTGAGTCAAAAACTATGTAAAAGAAACAGAAGATTCCAGGGCCTTTAACCCTGGGTTATTACAAAGGCTGGCACAGCTTATCAGAGTCTTGCTAAGATGAAAAATCAACACTGTACTTAAACAATTCACTGAACTTATGTAAAATACCTGTCCCTGCCATTGTCAGCTCTACTGTTCCTACTATTATTTCAGATTCCGTTCAAGTCCCAACCCCATTCCCCTAAATTCTCTCTCCACCCTTGAAGTTCTACAGTGTGTATTTTCTATTCCATCCAGTACTCTCACATCCAAATGGCAGTGTGAGCATTCCTTTCCTTTAGACGTGTAGGGCGCATGTCTTCCAGAGTGTGAGCTACCAAAGGCCAGGTGGGTGGCCGTGCTCCCTGCTATCTATCTCCCATGCACTTAACAGAGCCTCGTTTATTCTAGTGCTGCTTCACACACCAAACTGACATCAGGTCATGAACTCCAGATTTTCCCAGTTCCACTGGTGTGCTAGCTCTTAGCTGGTTCCAGCACTACTTGAAGTAGGACAGCCAGGGGGAAGTTGGGGTTTAGTAAGCACCTTCCTGTTATGAAACAACGACTTGTATATTAAAAAGCATCAGCCAATGTTAACCAGTATGCACCACCAGGAAAGGTTTGTTATACTTTGCACACCAGCTAGAAGTCGTTTCTGTCCCAACCTTTAAGGTTTGAGTTGAGTAAAGAATACAAACACCAAAAAGTAAGACTCACCGCCTGGGGCACCACAGGGGCGGCAGCACCTACGTGGATGGCATCGTAGGGTGCTTCTGCGGCATAGCCCATCCTTCCATCTCCCACTGAAAAAGAGAAGGTGAACCTTACAGTGCAGGCCTCTAGAAGGTTTGTAAAGAGGAAGGGGCAGGTTTTTCAATAAGCAATTGCCTCTATGGTGGAATTCATACGCCTTAGCAATATTCTTATAGAGGAATAAAGATGAACTGCTTGTAAAACGAGAAGGGGATCTTACAGACAGGACACTAAAGGAAAGAAGTCACTCACTAAAGAGTGTCTGCTGCCGGGGTCTATTGATCCAGCTCCAGAAGTCAGAATGGACCTTTCCGTGGAGGCAGTTAGCTGGTAGACATGAAAATGTCAGGACGGCTGACACAAGGTGGGCGGGCTCCTGGTAATCGGGACACAACAAGCCAGGCGTCTAAAGTGTTTAACATATCTCAGGTGTCTGCGTGATAATGTGCCAAGCTTTACATTTATGGTTTTTGTACTCTCTTGTCTTTTGCATAATACAAAATGTGCTGACTGCATTATAGATGGCTAAGTATTAAAAAAAAAAAACCTATGGGGAAGAGAAAATGTTTTTACTTTTTTAATCTTACACATTTGCACACTGTATAAATGATTTACAGTAGCCATTGGTTACTTTAATATTATTTAAGCAATGATGAACTCACCGTGGGTGTTACTTGAAATCTACACACTAGTCACAGGGCCCACAGTCAAGGTGGAACCACTGCTCTTTATTTGGACTTGAGAATGAATTTTTTAAATGCAGTAATTCGCTTTGAATATTGATTTAGTCTGCATGTGATTTCCTAAAAATAAAAATTCCCTGGAAGATGAAATGTATTAAGTTATTGGAAACTCACCAACCAGATGCACTCTCCCTGAAGACAGAAGTACTGGGTCGTCCTTTCTGACGTTATTTATTGAGTCATCTACTAACTCCTTAATGTGATCAATTCCTATGACTTTCCCACTAGCTCCAACCTAGGAGAGAGAAGAATTCAACAACTAAATCTCGTTTCTAAAGTGTCATTAGCCTAGTCCCTTATCTACAGTCCTACTCTGCAATGAGAGATCAAGGGTAAGGGAACAGCTTAAGCCGCACCCAAGGCCAGACATACTCTTGGACTTGTCATGAAATCACCCAGATCCATTCGCTTTCAGTCCTGCCAATCCAATGCAGTGGGTTGACCTTTGTTACTTGCAACCAAAAAGAGATTAAAAAAATGATATACATCCCAACTGCTCTTCCTAATAGAATTAAAAAACCAAACCAAACTTTAGAAACTGCTCATTAAAAAAAACCCAAAATCCCAAATCCTAGAATATCTGTCTGCTGGGGCTGGGAAGAAAACCAGAGTTCTTACCATGCGTGCAAAACACGCAGTGAGAATCCCACTTCCAGATCCTACGTCAAGAGCCTTCGCTCCTTCATGCAACTGATCAAACAGAAGCTCTAGGGCATAGGCGTGCTGCCAACAGAAAAGGAGGCAAATGTGGGTTTCTCTAAAAGCTACACACCATGGCATATAAGCATGTTACAAACTTCCAGCAAATTTCCACCTATCTTTACCTACCAAGACAATAGAAAAATACACATATCTACATAGAGATTACTTTAGAGAACTTAGTCTAATTCAAATTATAACATTTAGATAAAGTGATGCAGTGATTCTAGAAATCTAGTATGAGCATTTAAATTTTCTACTTCATTCAAATTCAAAAGCTACAAACTAAAGACAACCAAGGTGATAGTGTCCTGGCATAGCGGTTATGCATAACCTCAAGTTCAGCGGTTTGAATATAATTAAATGCTCCTTGGGGATGGCTACTCCCATAAAGAATTACAATCTGAATGAGTGGGGTGGAGTGCGAAGTGGAGACCCAAAGCCCACCTGTAGGCAACTGGACATCCCCTTACAGAAGGGTCACAGGGAGGAGATGAGCCAGTCAGGGTGCAATGTAGCAACGATGAAACATACAATTTTCCTCTATTTCTTAAATGCTTCCTCCCTCCCACTATCATGATCCCAATTCTACCTTACAAATCCGGCTAAACCGGAGGATGTGCACTGGTACAGATCACGGCTGGAAACACAGGGAATCGAGGACAGATGACCCCTCAGGACCAATAGCGATACCAGGAGGGGAAGTGGGAGGAGAAAGGGAACTGATCACAATGATCTACATATAACCCCCTCTCTGGGGAATGGACAACAGAAAAGTGGGTGAAGGGAAACATTAGACAGTGTAACACATGAAAAAATAATAATTTATAAATTATCAAGGGTCCGTGAGGGGGGAGGGGAAAAATTAGTAGCTGATACCAAGGACTCAAGTAGAAAGAATGCTTTGAGAATGACGATGGCAACAAATGTACAAACATGCTTGACACAATGGATGGATGTTTGAATTGTGATAAGAGCTGTACGAGCCCCCATTAAAATGATTTTTTTTAAATGAGTGACAGTCTTGGACACTCACAGGGGCAGTTCTACTCTGTCCTACGAGTTGGCGTCGACTTAATGGCAGTGAGTTCGCTGCTACACATTGTTGTTGGGGCTGTCGCGTCGGTTCCGACTCAAGGTGACTGACGTACAAAAGTCCTGCCCCATCCTCACAATGTCATGCTTGTGTCCACTGTTGCAATCACCGTGTCAATGTGTATCTTGTACACATATTTAAGCAAATACATTTTTTTCATTTATTTATCTTAAAGAATTTTCATACTCATATTATTATTTAATCAGTTTTTTCCTCTTTTGTATGGCTGAGTACATTCATGGATGCACACATATCCCTAATGAGAAATATTTAAATTAGCTACAATCTTTTACAATAAAGTGATTAAATAATCTTAGAAAATATTTTGACAGGATAAATTCCTCAAATGGAATTAAGGCAAATCAAAAGATATATTTAAAACTTTCATTTGCACAGTATGCATAGACTTTAAAGACTTCAAAAAGCAGATTGGTTGTACTTCTGATCAAGCTAAAAAATAAAGTCTTCCCTACACCCCCTCATAAATTTACATTTACATATTTTCCAAAGTATGAGGTTAGGATTAGAACATCTCTAAAGTCCTTAAATGCTTGAAATTTTAATTATTAAAACTCCTCAGATTCAATATGAAACAGGCAAATGTGGAGAGATCTAAGACTGTACATAGCTACCAGGGGTGGAAGAGGACCCCTGGTGGCAAATTGGGCTACAAGTTGGGCTGCTAACCACAAGGTCAGCAGTTCAAAACCACCGGCTGTTCTGAGGGAGACAGATGAGACTTTCTGCTCCAGTGAACCTTCAGAAACCCACAGCAGTTCTACTTTGTCCTGTAGGGTCGCTGTGCCTCACAATCGACTGACTCAATGGCAGTGAGTTTGTTTGGAGGGGTAGTGATGGGACTCACTGCATAGGGAGCATGGAGTTACTGGTGGTGGAATGATTGGGAAAAGGACAGTGGTGACAGTTGTACATGATGAACATGATTAATGCCACTGACAGACATGTAAAAATTACTGAATATTTTGTTTACATATACATATTATAAACATGTACATACAGATGCCACAATTTTTTAAAAATTATCAGATCCAGGAGCAATAGATACATAAAAATATACATCAACCAACAGGTCCATGGTAGATGAGCCCTGGTGGTGTTGTCGGGTCAAATGAACTGCCAAGCCCAAGGCCAGCAGGTGGAATGCAGCAGCAGTACCAGAGAAGACGGAGAAGCCATCTGCTCCGCACAGACTCTCAGCCTCAGCAACAACTCTGAGTCGGAGGCCACTGAGGGCAGTGGGTTTGCTATGCTCTGTAGGCTTTACTCAGAAAGGAATAAAGAAGAGCTGTTCCTTCCAGCAGAATCCCAACACAGAAGAAATGGTGAGCTTAGGAAACTGTCATTTGGCAACCATCTCAGTCATAACTAACTCAGTCAAAAATCCTAACAGATGCTAAACCTTGTGAACTAACACTTGACAAGTGACAAGGGTGTCTACATAACCTCAAAGCATTTCCCCAATGTATTTCTGAAATATACAAAGAAAACCAGTTACTTTCCAGTCTTGTAAACGTATCACCATAAAGGGCACAGTAGAACGGCCCCATCTGGTTTCTCAGGCTATACATCTTTATGGCAGCAGCCTGTCTCAGTTTACTCCTCTGGATGGCCAGTGGGTTTCCACCTCCAGTCTCTGGGTCAGCAGCTAAGCACTTCCATCGGAGGTTCTCAGTAGAGACCCCTGGCAGGCACAGAGTCAGCAGTAACAAGGCACCCTGGCATGACGTGTCTCTGCCACAATTCACAGCACCTTTGGCACACTGCTGGCAAAAAACATGTTTCCTGTACCTAACCACAAGGAAACAGCAGACAAACCCACACAAAGGGACGTTTTATGTAAAAGGCTGGCCACAGTCATTAACATTTTCAGGGACACAAAAGATAAAAACCTATTGTGGATTAGAGAAGACTAAAAAAATAGGGAAACTAAATGAAACTCATGATGGAAACATGAGAGCAGCTGAGAAGCTCTAGGTCTCTGCACTGGTTAACGGCAGTCTGAGTGTGCGCATTCGCGTTCTGACGGGGCTGACTGCTGCGGTTGAGACGCCCCTCTTGGGGTGGACGGCACCGTGTGCGCGACGTAAGGAAAGACTGCGGGAAAGATCAAACGCGCTCAGCAGAGTGGCGGCTGACTGAAGCGAGGGAGGCCCACAGCACACAAGGTGTGTGTGTGGGTCATGGGGTCGCCAGGCATCCCGGCTGACTGGATGGCGGCTGACAGTAAGAGAAACACACCTCTTGATAGACAGCTCCTTTTTTAAATACATAAAAAAGAACGACACGCGAGGAGGAGAAGGCCTTCAATAACGAACCTTCGTGTAATCTACCAGGTTTCCATCTATTTCTCCAGATAGTTCTTAAGGTTCCACAGAAGCCCTCTCAGGCTAACACACAAACATAACCTGGTCAATCGTTGTGCTTTGGGGAAAGAAGAGCTGAGAAATAACTTTAAATCTATCAATTGTCCATATTTAGTTAGTGGTTTAACAAATAGGTTCTTGCCTACACAGTACAAAACCCTACTTTGAAAAAGAGTTGCAAATTACACACCCAAAATACTGTCTTCTACTGCTTTATTAGCCCTGTCCGTCCGACAGTCTCTTTAACTCATTGTTCCTGTTTCCATATTATTACACTTTTTTGAATGACAAGCCTTTTTCACATTATCATGTGAATTAAAGTAATGATATATTAAGGCACTTTATAAACCTACAAACCATAAAACTAAACTCACTGCCATGGAGACGATGCTGACTCAGAGTCAGCCTATAGGACCACGCAGAACTGCCCCTTTGGGTTTCTGAGAGTGTAACTTTTTTGAAAAATAATTAAATCATTTTATTGAGGGCTTGTACAACTCTTATCACAATCCACACATCCATCGTGTCAAGCACATTTGTACATTTATTACTCTCATCATTCCCAAAACATTTGCTTTCTACTTGAACCCTTGGTACCAGCTCATTTTTCCCCTCCCTCCCTGCTCACCCCTCCCCCATGAACCCTTGATAATTTATAAATTATCATCATTTTGTCATATCTTATACCGTCCAATGTCTCCCTTCACCCACTTCTCCGCTGTCTGTCTCCAGGGAGGAGGTTATATGTAGACCTTGTCATCTGTTCTCCCTTTCTCCCTCTCCTTCCCTCCAGCCTGCCAGAGAGTGTAACTCTTTACTGCTGACCTTACGGTCAGGAACCCAGCACATAGCCACTATACCATCAGGGCTCCTTCTTATAAATCTCAAGAATTTACAAACACTAGGTATAATATTTACAACAATCAAAAATCAACTACGACAGCACAATGACTTGTTGTAAATATTAACGGTTTCCTTGTGGCACTTAGTTACTGGTAAAGGTAAAATTATTACTATTGATTTTCTGCTTCCACTAGATTTTGGAAATAAACTCCTTTACCGTGTTTTACATAACTATCAAACCATCAGTTTTTGCCTGGTCAATAATCACGAAGATCAACATGTCTTAGAAAAAGTATAGCCGGAAAGTTCCTTAGAAGCAAGGGTGGTTAGCTTTTGTCTCTCTTAGTTTGGAAATGGTATCAGAAGGACATCATTCGTGGTAAAGTACAGGGTCATCAAAAAAGAGGAAGACACTTGATGAGATGATTTGGGAAATACTGAAGTACTCCGAGGTAACAGGGCATCATTTCAGCAACTTACTCTCAAATGAAATAAAGAAAAGTTCTTTATGCGTTACTTCCAACTTTTCTATAAATCAGAGCTTATTTCATTGTTTTTTTCATTCTGGCTGATCTTATCTGTCTGATGTTTCAAAATGGTATACTGAAATACTCCCCGAGTCTTCGTTGTGAACATCAACCAGTAGGGTAAGAAAGGGCTAATTAATGAGGCTTCTAAAGCAAATTAAGGAGCCCTGGTAA